ATGCACTTGGTAAACTCTGTGTTTCCAACACATTTCAGCAGAACTTGCAGCTCTTTGTAGATGTCTTCTTTGTCTCTGACGTTAAAAAAGTATATTTGTTTGACCAACTCATCGTGCCTTCGTTCTCAAAACATGACCATAATTTGATAAGTGCAACTGGAATAATATTTTTGTATCTCGTATAGACCAGCAGCAACTTGCACAGTTTCAAAACAACATCAGCTATTTATACGAAAACTTTGTTCCGGTTAAAACCAAAGTGATTAAACATTCCGTCAAATGTTGGTTAAATAATGACATTAAGCTAGCAATAAAATCCCGAAATGACGCTTACCAAAAGTGGAAAAGGTATAGGACGCCAGAACATTATGGACGATTTAAGTTACTGAGAAACACGGTGACCAAACTAATTGACTCTGCAAAGACAAACTTGTATAGAAGTAGATTACAAACATCAGCATCCACCTCACAAACTTGGAAAGAAGTAAAGTCATTAGGAATAGGTAGGAAACCAGCAGCGCCGAAACAGGATGTTGACATAGAGGAATTAAACACAAGTCTGTCGAAATGCAATGTACCTGAAATCTGCGAAAACAATATGTACCTGAGATCAGTACCTCGAAACCTCTATGATAGTAGATTTAGATTTGTTTGTGTCAATCAGTGTGAAGTGCTCGTCAATATTCTTAAAATGAAATCAGACGCAGTTGGACTTGACGACATTAATCCTAAATTTATAAAAGTATTGTTACCAAAAATCCTGAAATACATAACATATATATTCAACACGGCCTTTACAACTTTCACGTTTCCAGACCGTTGGAAAATCGCAAAAATTATCCCTGTTCCGAAGGCAAACAGATAATATAGTCCCATTTCTATTCTTCCGTATCTATCAAAGGCCTTTGAGAATATAATAGCATTTCAAATTAACTCGTTCATCCATGATAACGCTTTACTGAATAATAACCAATCAGGAGTTAGGAAACACACCAGCTGCACTTCGGCAATTTTAAAAATATCAAATGATATACGAGAATATGCTGACAACTCCAATGTGACGCTTCTTGTACTACTTGACTATAGTAAAGCCTTTGACACCGTTAATCATAATGTCCTATGTGCAAAATTAGTAACTCAGTTCAAATTCTCAAAAACTGCTGTCAAACTAATGACATCATATTTACAAAACCGTCGTCAATCTGTCGTAGTGTCAAATGTGTCGCCTTCTTTTGCGTTTACAAAACGCGGTGTGCCGCAAGGTTCTATACTTGGTCCGCTTTTGTTTACCCTTTATGTAAATGATCTTCCCTCCATGTTGTCAAGTTGTAATGTCCATATGTACGCAGATGACGTCGAAATGTATATGAGCCGTCCCCTAAATAGAATAATTGAGTGTGTAGACATATGTAATAATGAACTGGTCAAAATAAGCAACTGGGCAAAAGAAAACGGACTAGGACTGAATCCGTCAAAATCCAAGTGCATAATTATTTTTAAAAAGAAAATCAGTCTTAACATTGGTCCCTTAATTTTAAATGACATTCCTATTGAATGCGTAAAAAGAGCGACCAATTTGGGTTTTATTTTTAATACTACGCTGAACTGGAGTGATCACATTAACACCGCGGTTGGGAAAACGTGTGGATTGTTAAGGTCGCTTTATTTGGTTAGAAACTTTCAACCCCTAAATGTAAGAATGTTGCTTGCGAAATCTTGCCTGATCCCAACTTTATTCTATGGGATCGAATTATTTGCTAATTGTGACTCAATCAGCCAGCACAAACTTAAAATGGCCTTCAACAGCATTACAAGATTCGTATTTAATTTGCGACGATTTGATCACGTAACTAGACTATCAACAAAATATTTGAACTTCACTTGGCAGATTGGATAAAAATGAGAGTGTTAGTTTACTTACAAAAAATAATTTTTTCCAAATTACCAATTTATTTGTATTAAACACTTAGATTCTCCACTACGCGAAGGTCAAATATTATTATACAAGGAATGTACCGAAAAGAAACTGCACACTTTTTCTACTATAACTTTCATGTTTTTGATTCGATTTCAATTTTTCTTTTTGTTCTTTTTATAGCAAAACTTAAACTTTCAATTTTTATAAACAGAATTAAAAAAAATTAACTTCTTATTTTTAAGCGAATTTTTCGCTTAACTCCTCTCATCAGGTTCTGCACACCCTCCTTGGTGACCTTGCCGGCTGCACGCATCCAGTTTTTTTTCATTTCTTTGTTATTTTGGGAGAGACTACCATTTTTTATTAAATTTCGCTTAACGATGGCCCAATATCTCTCAATGGGACGCAGCTCTGGGCAATTTGGTGGGTTCTCCTCTTTTGAAATAAACTTGATGTTCTCCGCCTCAAGGAGCGCCAATGTTGACCGGGCATAGTGCGCTGACGCTAAGTCTGGCCAAAATATTGTCGACACGTTGCTTTCTATAAAACGGTATTAAACGTTTTTTAATGCACTCTTTTTGGTAAACCTCTGCGTTTATTGTGCCATTTGTGAAAAATGGGCTGGTTTTTAGGCCACATGTGCAAATTGCCTGCCATATCAGGACTTTCTCCCCAAATTTGTCCACTTCTATTTTGGTGACCGAGTCGCTAATTGTTTCACCTTTGGCTTTTGTGTAAAATTGGAGGCCTGGTAATGTTTTTGAGTCCAATTTTACATTTGTTTCGTCGTCCATTACGACGCATTCCACTGCATCAGTGAGCAAGCGATCATAAAGCTTGCGTACTCTCGTTTTGCCGACTTTTTGTTGGCGCAAACTTTTTTTTGGCACTTTTTGTTTTTTTATAAGTCTTTAGGCCATGCCGTTGTTTTATGCGCTGCACCATACTTACACTCGTTCGCGCTTTTTTGGCCAAATCTCGAACTGACGTCGTGGGATTTTTCTCAATTAAGGGGGTCTTCTCATTGGGCAACTTTTTTTTCGATTTTTTTTTTGCATTTATTCATAGCTTGGGATGGTCTGTATATGTCCCCAAAAGGATTCTTAGAAATTTGAAATACTTTAGAAGATACAGCCTCATTTGTGAAGCAAAGTCTTCGCAAAATGAGCTTTTTTCAAACTTCAAACGCGTTTATCTCGAACCATGTTTTTCGAACTGGCGGCCATGATATCTCCAGTTCAACTCAACCGATTTTCATGAAACAAAGTGAAATCGACGCAGAATTGTCACCATTCTCGGGTGACGGAACAGATTTTTTTTTAATTTTTTTTTTCTATTTTTTTTGTACACTAAACTACAAAAAAAAAGCCCGAAATCGAAATTTTTTTTTGAATGGCCGCCATTTTGTTTAAAAAAATTTTTTTAAAAATCTGTTCCGTCACCCGAAAATGACATCTATTCTGATTATAACCCCGTTTTCTTTTTTAATTTCGGACGCTCTGGAGACCCTGAATCGTGGCCGCCAGGACGACACCTTTTTTTCGACCACCAAGTTTGAAGTCTCATTACTCTTTGAACAACCCTCGCATCGAGGCAAGAACAACTTTTTTAGTTACTTTGAACATTTTTGAATACAATAAATAAAAAAAGTTTTCAATTATTCTTTGCGTTTTCAAATAAGAATTTTTTTAAAAAGGGTCCAAAAAACGGGTTTTGAATAAGAAGACCCCCTTAAAGCTAGCACCTTCTTATCGACGCTGGCATCCCTTGGACCTTTTTTTCTGACAGTTTTTGGCAAATCTTTTAGAGAACATGTCTTCCCAAATTTGATAATAATATTCTTAACACTATTAACGCTTACTTTATAGCGCTTGGCTAAGTTTCGGTACGAAACACCGTTTTCTGTGCAGTAATTGTGCACAATTTTTTGACGGACGTGTTCTTCAATACGAGGCATTGCGAAATGTGCAAAACAAATAGTAAAAAGAGAACATGCAAACAACGCAGAATTAATAGAGCTTTCTAACGGTGCACCGCATGGCATGATCGAATGCTCCCACTGAGAGCTTTTCACAATTGAAAGTGTGCAGTTTCTTTTCGGTACATTCCTTACCAAGCTATCTAAGAAATATTAGCAGTGCCGCGCAGTTTAAGGTAAAACTTATTGCACACTTTCAAGAATAAAATCTGACATAAAATAAAACAAAGCGACCGTAGTTTTTAATTTTAGTATAAGAATAATTAAAAATTGTATATCATATAGATGTGAACTGATAAGGAACTTGTCCTGTGTGAATAGCGCATTAACTTATAAGTATTTTGTACTCGAAGCGTTAGGAAGAATATCTTCAAATAAATAATAAATAATAGTCCCTCAGTTTTAAAGCTATCTGAATGAAACTTGGCATATAGTCTTCTATATATTCTCACAGCTATATATGTCGGAACGGGCCGGATCAGACGACTATAACATATAGCTGCCATACAAATGTTTGATAAATTTTTAGAAAAAAATTATAACTTGGCTGTTTTTCAACATTTTTGCACCGTTTTTGAGATGTGGCCATGGTATATTATTTCAGATTTCCGGTGTGAATTTTATGAAAATATCTTATAGCTGCCATAGGAACGATCGGGAAATTAATACGAAAAAAAATATAACTTCGTTGTTTTTCAACGTATTTTTATCTACTCTAAGATATAGGCTTATTTTATTATTTCAGAATTTTGGTATAAGTTTTATGAAAATCAGACAACTATATAATATAGCTGCCATATAAACGATCGGTAGATGTTGAGAAAATGTAAAGCTGGGAATGCAAAACTGTAACTGTCAAACTGTAAACATAGTAAGTATAGGTAAAATGTAATGAAATAATATCTGCAAGGGTATACAAACTTCGGCGTGCCGAAGTAAGCTTCCTTTCTTGTTTGTATTCATACCCTTGCAGGGTACTATAATTGTAATCAGAAGTTTGCGACGGAGTGGGGAATTCCGATCCTATAAAGTATCAAGAATAACCGGCCAATCTAGAATATTTGCTAGAAAAGCAAACAAATTTAATAATTTTGTTTTGTTTAATTTTTGAGCTGTTTCATAAATGCATATTTAAATTCAATTGGTCGACATTCGTTTCGTCCACCACTGGAAAATATCTGCAGTGGGAACAGTCTTTCATTGTGTAGCAGGAGCAGTCTGGGAATTCCATTGGCACCGTGCAACAGGTGTAATCTGTAGGAGCCGCACAGGTGGAAACGCAAGGGTTCACACAACGACCCGCGCAGGGTGGCGTGCAGGGGGCTGCACAGAGGGCCGCACAGGTGGCAGTGCAAGGGGCCTTGCAAGGGGCCGTGCAAGGGGCCGTGCAAGGGGCCGTGCAAGGGGCCGTGCAAGGGGCCGTGCAAGGGGCCGTGCAGGGGGCCGTGCAGGGGGCCGTGCAGGAGGCCGTGCAGGGGGCCGTGCAGGAGGTCGTGCAGGGGGCCGTGCAGTGGGCCGTACAGGGGGCCGCGCAGGGTTCCGAGCACGGGGCCGCGCAGGGGTCCTCACAAACATTCCTACAACATCGGCAGTAACATCTCAGATAATGACTGCAGCAGATGGCGGGCAGAAGCATCAGGGTGAAGGGTAGAAGCCAGAACCAGATGGCGTTCTGGAGAATAAGGGAAATGTTATATATTTTATAATTAAAGATACATATACTTATCGCAATTCCCACTCACCATTGGATTGGCAATACTCCCACAAAGATCTTTGTAAATCAAATAGCGATTCAGAGCTAAACTATTATAGAAATAGGGATCAAAGCTCCCATAGGGATACGAAGCATGATAATCGTGGTGATGATGATTGTGGTGATGATCATTGATGTGATGATCATCGGTGTAATTATCACCATGGTGATGATGATGATGAAAGTGGTGATGATGATGGTGGTGATTATAGTTGTGGTGATGATCCTCGGTGTGATTATCATCGTGGTGATGATGGTTTGTGTGATTATGGTGGTGGTGGCCGTGATGGTGGTGCCCGTGATGGTGGTGTCCGTGATGGTGGTGGCCGTGATGGTGGTGGCCGTGATGGCCATGGTAATGGCGAGCCTGAGCTAAGCTCTTCATCGATTCCTTGGTTTCATTTTGCAGACCAAATCCAACGAAATCGCGGCGTTGAAACTGTTTAATCTTTTCCAGAAGTCGGCTCATGTACGTGTCAAAGCTTTTATTTCCGCCGGACAGTAGGTGATCCAGCTGCTTCAGTTTACCCAGCAGTCGCTGAATGATCGCGGCTAGCGGTTGCCCCAGTTTCTTGTGAGCGACTTGCAGCCTGATGGTTTGGTTTAACAGAAAAGGAGGCGATCCCACACTTCTGGTCAGGTTGGCCAGTCTACTGATCAGCTCCGGCAGAGGTCCTGGTTTGGGCTCCGGCACGAGCTCTCGGCACATATATTGGGTGAATTCTGAGCTGTTGTAGCTGAAGAGCTTACTCCGCAAGAGCTCCTGGTCCTCGGCCGCCTCCCGGATATCCCTTTTCGTATTGACATAGAACTCTTTGCGACCCAAGTCACCGCACAAGGCCTCATTACCGGCGCACCTCTGCAACGTATCTCCAGATCTTAGAACAGGTGGCTTATTATCCGGTAGATACAACGTATCTGCAGACTTTAGCACAGGAAAATTATCATCCGGTGGATTGTCATCCGGTAGATACAACCTATCTCTAGATCTTAGCTCAGGTTGATTATCATCGGGTAGATTATCATCCAGTGGATTGTCAACCGGTGGATTGTCATCCGGTGGATTATCATCCAGTGGATTGTCATCCAGTAGATACAACGTATCTCTAGATCTTAGCACAAGTTGATTATCATCCGGTGGATTGTCATCTGATGGATTGTTATCTGATGGATTGTCATCCAGTGGATTGTCATCCAGTGGATTGTCAGCCGGTGGTAGATACAACGTATCTCTAGATCTTAGCACAGGTTGATTATCATCCGGAGGATTGTTATCTAGTGGATGGTCATGCAGTTGACTGTGATCCGGTGGATCTACCGTATCTCTAGATCTTAACATAGGTTGATTATCATTCGCTGAATTAGCATTCGGTGTATTAGCATTCATTGTATTATGATTCGGTAGTTTATCATTCGCTGGATTATTATTCGGTCGATACAAAATCGGTCGATTATACATCGGAATCCTCCTTTCGGGCACCTGATGTCTACAAGAGTACATGAGGGATTATTTAAGCTTGGAGCTCCTCATAAAACTTACCCAGCACAGAAAATGTCATACGTCAAGAATCCGTGGACCAGAAAGAAGAGCACCAGGACAAGGGGTATCGAGAAAAGCATGAAGGCGGCAGTGAGGAATGCACAGAGTAGCCCATTCGACACATTTGGACTAAACAGTTTTACCACAAGAGCAATTAGCAGGAGGATGGGCAAAATCATAAGCACCAAGAGCATTCCTAACATGCTTCCATACCACGAAGGTCCCAGCTTTCGGCGCAGAGCAGCTACGGGAATACGACGAATCGCTATTGCAGGCCCTATCTTATTTACCCGGAGTTCTACTAACGATGCTTTGTACTTATCCTGCAGATATTTGTCTGAGGGTGGGCTTTTTGAGGCTAGAGGTAAATATGTCTATAGTTTTTTTTTGGCTAACCGTCTTTATGGGGATCCTTTTTAATTGTGTCCAGCAGGTTATTAGTGTGATTCCTGTACGCCGTTGCGATCTGTTGAGCAGCCATTAGGGGATAGATGACAAAGTTACCGGCCAGAATTTCGTTAATGGACTTGATCAAGTCTTCCGTTGAGGGAATCTTTAACAGTTGTTTGGTGTTAATCCTGTTACGTTCCTTTTACTTAGCCTTTAATGTACTTACTCTATCAAAGTGCAGACATCCCTCGTCTAGCATCCTGACCTCATTGTCTCTGTAGAAATCTCTGCACTCCTCTTGGTTGCAGTGCGAGATGAGGAATTCCTTAAGATTTTGTTTGACGGCACGCAACGCTGTTGAGGATCATTGTCATTGTTAATCCTTTAAAAAACCAAAGGATTCTCACCATCCCGAAACCTAATAGCCAACCCCTGAGCTACGGGCAGCTCATCCTGGAACTCCTCTAAAATTAACTTAGCTGTGTGCATATTTTTAAGAACCTCGCTTAGATCCTTAATGGCTTCAGCATGGTCCCCCCGCTTGTGTGGCATCAGACTGAGCTTCGATCCGCTCCAAAAAATGCTTATAATTAGGGTCATGCAGAAGTCGCATGCGCCTGTAGGGGTGATGGTAGAGGGATCGCTGCGAACAAGGCCCATATTTCTCCAGGCCCTTCGTTAACTGCCTGGCTGACATTATGGCCAAAAAGAGAAATAAACTAAACCTCGTTTAGCCAGATCAGCGGTAGTTACGAATCCCTAACAGACTTACAACATAAGGAGTGCCGCAACGGCCAGGAGGATGCCACAGCTATAGCACGTTCTCTTGCTGCCTGTCCTGCAATTTCTGCATCGCCCCCAAAACCAGCCATAAAGGGACCTATGAGGTAAAGCTGCTCGTTGAAATCCTTAACACGAATAAGAATTAAAAGCAAAACTCACCCCACGATTGGCATTGCTAAAATAAGAAACAACAGCAGGAAGATCAGTACCTTCAGTCCATCCTGCATAGCGAGGAAGTCCCTCCAGTCATCAATCTCCGCATTGACTCCGATATCCAGGCCATTGTAGGAAATGTAGCTCTGGGGCAGTCGGCCATGTTTGCAAACCAAAAAGCTCGTTGCAGATTGCGGCACATAGAAAACTGGACTTCGACCGAGAATAGGGTCGAACAGATTGATTGGATAATGGTAGTCGTCATAATAGTGATGGTCATTATGATGGTGGCCGTGATGGTGGTGACCGACATGATAGTGATGATGGTGGTAGTCGTCATGATGGTGATAGCCGTGATGGTGAAGGTCGTCACGATAGTAGTGGCCGCGATGGTGATGGTCGTCATGATGGTAGTGGCCATGATGGTGGTGGTAATCGCCGTCGTGCCCATGGTGGTCGTCATGATAGTCATGATCGTGGCCATGATAGTGGCCATGATAGTGGTCGTGATCGTGGCCATGATCGTGGTCATGATAGTGGTCATGATAGTGGTCATGATAGTGGTTATGATTCTGGTCGTCATGATGTTGGTTGTGCACTTCCTTATGCTCGGTCTTAATAGGATCGACATAATGGATAGGCATCATTTTTATTAATACTTATTTTCAATTTAAAATTTTATATTATCGAATTTGACTTAAAAGCCAGTGATTATTTTGTTGTGAATTAAAAAAGAAACTAAGATTATAAAGTCTAGAGATTTTTGAAAGATCTTACATAAATTAATTTATTATACCCTTGCAGGGTATTATAATTTTAGTCAGAAGTTTGCAACGCAGTGAAGTAGACGTTTCCGATATATAAATAAAGTATATATATTCTTGATCAGCATCAACAGCCGAGTCGATCTAGCCATGTCCGTCTGTCCGTCCGTCGGTCCGTTTCTACGCAAACTAGTCCCTCAGTTTTAAAGCTATCTGAATAAAACTTTGCATATATTCTTCTATATACTCTTACTGCTATATATGTCGGAACGGGCAGGATCGGACTATATCATATAGCTGCCATACAAATGTTCGATAAATTTTAAGAAAAAAAATTATAACTTGGCTGTTTTTTAACATTTTTGCACCATTTTTTAGATATGGCCATTTTTTATTATTTCAGAATTTCAATGAAAATTTCCTGAAAATCGGACGACTATATCTTATAGCTGCCATAGAAACGATCGGGAAATTAATAGAAAAAATTATAACTTCGTTGTTTTTTAACGTATTTTCATCTACTTTGAGAGCTTTTTGTATTATTTCAAAATTTTGGTATAAATTTTATGCAAATCGGACAACTATATCATATAGCTGCCATAGAAGCGATCGGTAAATATAGAGAAAATATAAAGCTAGGAATGTGAAACTGTAATTGTCAAACTGTAAACATAATAAGTATAGGTAAAATGTTATGAAACTTTTTTTTGTGTGTGTTTTCAGCATTTTATTTATGCTATGTATAAATATACAACTTTTATATATTTTCGTTTATTTTTTTTTTTTTAATTTTTAACCAGAATGGCTCGATTCTTAATGATCCAATTGCAATCTGCAAGGGTATACAAACATCGGCATGCCGAAGTTAGCTTCCTTTCTTGTTATTTTTTTTGTTTTTTGTCAACTTGTATCAACGATTATTACGAAATTACATTTTTTTAATAATATTAAAAACAAGAAAGGAAGCTAACTTCGGCACGCCGAAGTTTGTGTACCCTTGCAGATATTATTTCATAACATTTTACCTATACTTATTATGTTTAGAGTTTGACAGTTACAGTTTTACATTCCCAGTTTTACATTTTCTCTACATCTACCGATCGGTTTATATGGCAGCTATATGATATAGTTGTCCGATTTTCATAAAATTTATACCAAAATTCGAAACTAATAAAATAAGCTTATATCTCAGAGTAGATAAAAATCGGTTGAAACAAGAAAGGAAGCTAAATTCGGCACGCCGAAGTTTGTATACCCTTGCAGATATTATTTCATTAAATTTTACCTATACTTATTATGTTGAGAGTTTGACAGTTACAGCTTTACATTCCCAGTTTTACATTTTCTCTACTTCTGCCGATCGGTTTATATGGCAGCTATATGATATAGTTGTCCGATTTTCATGAAATTTATACCAAAATTTTGAACTAATAAAATTAGCTTACATCTCATAGAAGATAAAAATAGGTTGAAAAACAACGAAGTTATAATTATTTTCTATTAATTTCTCGACTGTTCCTATGGCAGCTATATCATATATTCGTCCGATTTTCATAAAATTTTTACCAAAATTCTGGAATAATATAGAATGGCAATATCTAAAAAATGGTGCAAAAATGTTGAAAAACAGCAAAGTTATAATTTTTTTTCTAAAAATTTATCGAACATTTGTATGGCAGCTATATGATATAGTCGTCCGATCCGGCCCGTTCCGACATATATAGCAGTGAGAGTATATAGTAGACTATATGCAAAGTTTCATTCAGATAGCTTTAAAACTGAGGGACTAGTTTGCGTAGAAACGGACAGACGGACGGACGGACAGACGGACGGACAGACGGACAGACGGACAGACGGACATGGTTAGATCGACTCGGCTGTTGATGCTGATCAATAATATATATACTTTATAGGGTCGGAAAGGTCTCCTTCACTGCGTTGCAAACTTCTGACTGAAATTATAATACCCTGCAAGGGTATAAAAAAACGAAGTTATAATTTTTTTTTCTATTAATTTCCCTATCGTTCCTATGGCAGCTATAAGATATAGTCGTCCGATTTTCATGAACTTTTTACCGAAATTCTGAAATAATATAAAATGGCCATATCTGAAAAATAGTGCCAAAATGTTGATAAACAGCAAAGTTAAAATTTTTTTCTAAAAATTTATCGATCATTTGTATGGGAGCTATATGATATAGTCGTCCTATCCGGCCCGTTCAGACATATATAGCAGTGAGAGTATATAGAAGACTATATGCTAAGTTTCATTCAGATAGCTTTAAAACTGAGGGACTAGTTTGCGTAGAAACGGACAGACGGACGGACAGACGGACAGACGGACAGACGGACGGACAGACGGACGGACAGACGGACAGACGGACATGGCTAGATCGACTCGGCTGTTGATGCTGATCAAGAATATATATACTTTATAGGGTCGGAAACGTCTCCTTCACTGCGTTGCAAACTTCTGACTGAAATTATAATACCCTGCAAGGGTATAAATATTTAAATAAAGCAATAAGAATAGCCAGCAAGTGAAACAAAGCGTGTCGCCTCTCGAATAAGAGATTTTGAAAATTTCTTTTGTAAACATAGGCAAAATTCCTCCTTAATAATTTCTGTAAATGAGAAAATTCGAAGACTTATGTAAAACCACTTAAAGTTTATTGACATAAATGTTTGCAAACGAAAGAGACAACGATCAACGGATCTCACTGATTTACTGGCAACTGGTATGGGTGTTCGGTTTATGGTTTTCTTGAGGATCTTAGGCGATACATTGCAAGGGGCAATGTATTGACTTTTTTACTTTTCTTTTCATACCCTTGCAGAGTACAATAATTGTAATCAGAAATTTGCGACGGAGTGGGGACTTCCGATCTTATAAAGTATCAACAACAAGCGGTCAATCTAGAAGATTTGCTAGAAAAACAAATAAATTTAACAATATTGTTTTGTTTAATTTTTCAACTGTTTCATAAATGCATATTGAAATTCAATTGATCGACATTCGTGGGAGCAGTCCATCGTGCGGCAGGAGCAGTCTGGAAATTCCATTGGCAGCGTGCAGCTGATGTAGTCGGTAGGGGCCAAACAGGAGGTCATGCAGGGGGCTGCATAGGAGGTCATGCAATGGCCGTAAGGCCGCACAATGGCGGGGGGCCGCACAGGGGAAAACACAAGGGTTCACATCGGAGGCCGCTCAGAAAGCCGCGCAGGGGGCCGGGCATAATGCAGATTAAAATTCAAGTGATCGACATTCGTTTCGTCCACCACTGGCAAATATCTGCAATGGGTGCAGTCTGACATTGTGCAGCAGGAGCAGTCTGGGAACTCCATTGGCAACGTGTAGCAGGTGTAGTCTGTAGCGGCCGCACTGGAGGTCATACATGGGTTCGCACGGGGGGAAACACAAGGGTTCACACAACGGACCGCGCAGGGGGCCGCGAAGGGAGCTGCGCAGAACGCCCCGCATGGAGCAGCACAAGGGGAAACACAAGGGTTCACACAACGGACTGCGCAGGGGGTCGCGCAGGGAGCCGCGCAAGGGATCGCGCAGGAATCTACACAAGGGGTCGGGCAGGGATCCGCGCACGGGGCCGCGCAGGGATCCGCGCACTGGGCCGCGCACGGGGCCGCGCACGGGGCCGCGCAGGGATCCGCGCAAACATTCATACAACACCGGCAGTAACATCTCAGATAATGACTGCAGCAGAGGGCGGGCAGAAGCATCAGGGTGAAGGGTAGAAGCCAGAACCACAAGGCGTTCTGGAGATTAAAGGAAATGCAATTTATAATTAAAGCTACATATATCGCAATCCCCACTCACCATTGGATTGGCAATACTCCCACAAAGATCTTTGTATCTCAAATAGCGATTCGGAGCTAAATTGTTATAGAAATAGGGATCAAAGCTGCCATTGGGATTCGGATCAAAGCTTACATAGGGATACGAATGTAAGGGGAACGGAGCTAACTTCTCACTTTGATCGGTGCGATTATCATCATGATGATGATGGTGGTAATGTTGATGGTGGTGCTCATAATCGTGGTGAAGTTCTTCGGTTTGATTATCGCCGTGGTTATAATGGTAGTAGTGGTGATCATCATGGTGCCCGTGATGGTGGTGCCCGTGATGGTGGTCCCCGTGATGGTGGTGCCCGTGATGGTGGTGCCCGTGATGGCCATGGAAATGGCGAGCCTGTGCTAAGCTCTTCATCGACTTCTTGGTTCTATTATCCAGAACAAAATCAACAAAATCCCGGCGTTGGAACTGGTTAATCTTTTCCAGAAGTCGGCTCATGTACGTGTCAAAGCTTTCATTTCCGCCGGACAGTAGGTGATCCAGCTGCTTCAGTTTACCCAGCAGTCGGTGAATGATCGCCGCTAGCGGTTGCCCCAGTTTCTTGTGAGTGACTTGCAGCCTGATGGTCTGGTTTAACAGAAAAGGAGGCGATCCCACACTTCTGGTCAGGTTGGCCAGTCTACTGATCAGCTCCGGCAGAGGACCTGGTTTGGGCTCCGGCACGAGCTCTCGGCACATATATTGGGTGAATTCTGAACTGTTGTAGCTGAAGAGCTTACTCCGCAAGAGCTCCTGGTCCTCGGCCGCCGCCCGGATATCCCTTTTCGTATTGACATAGAACTCTTTGAGACCCAAGTCACCGCACAAGGCCTCATTACCGGCACACCTCTGCAACGTATCTCCAGATCTCAGAACAGTTGGATTATCATCCGGTGGATTATTATCTAGTGGATTGTTATACGGTGGACTATTATTCAGTGAATTGTCATCCAGTGGATTACCATCCGGTTGATTAAACGTATCTCCAGATTTTAACACAAGTGGATTATGATACGGTAGATACAACGTATCTCCAAATCTTAGCACAGGTTGATTATCATCCGGTGGAATATCATCCAGTGGATTGTCATCTAGTGGATTATCATCTGGTGGATTGTCATCCAGTGGATTGTTATCCGGTGGACTATCATTCAGTGAATTGTCATCCAGTGGATTGTCATCCGGTGGACTATCATCGAGTGGATTGCCATCCGGTGGATTATTATCCGGTGTATTGTTATACGGTGGACTATCATCCAGTTGATTGTCATTTGATGGACTATCATCCAGTGGATTGTCAATTGGTGGACTATCATTCAGTGAATTGTCATCCAGTGGATTATCATCCAGTGGACTTAACGTAGCTCCAGATCTTAAGACAGGTGGATTATCATCCGATGGATTCTCGCCCGGGGGATACAAAGAATCTTCAGATCTTAATACAGGTAACCCACCATCCAGTGGATTGTCATCTGGTGGACTATCATTCGGTGGTTCATAATTCCGTGGATTATCATCCGTTCGATTATCATCCGGTCGATCATCAAATTGAATCCTTTTTTCGGGCACCTGGTGATATCTACAAAAGTACACGAGGGTATATTTTAGCTTGGAGCTGGTACATAAACTTACTCAGAACAGAAAATGTTATACGTCAAGAATCCGTGGACCAAATAAAAGAGCACCAGGACAAGGGGTATCGAGAAAAGCATGAAGGCGGCAGTGAGGAATGCACAGAGTAACCCACTGCCCACATTCGGACTAAACAGTTTCACCACAAGAGCAATTAGCAGGAGGATGGGCAAAATCATAAGCACCAAGAGCATTCCCAACGTGCTTCCATACCACGAAAGTCCCAGCTTCCGGCGCAGAGCAGCTGCGGGAATACGACTAATCGCCTTTGCCGGCCTTGTCTTTTTTACTCTGTGTTCGACCAACGATGCTTTGTAGGCTTTGTAATGTTAAAGGGGGATATATTTATAGTTTTTTTTCTGCTAACCGTCTTTATGGAGGTTCTTAAAAACTGCGACTAGCTGGTTTTCAGTGCGATTCCTGTATGCCGTTGCGATCTGTTGAGCAGCCATTAGGGGATAGTTGACGAAGTTACTGGCCTGAATTTCGTTAATGGACTTGATCAAGTCTTCTGTTGAGGGAATCTTTAACAGTTGTTTCGTGTTAATCCTTTTACTTTTCTTTAAAGTAGCCTTTAATGTACTTACTCTATCAAAGTGCAGACATCCCTCGTCTAGCATCCTGATCTCATTGTCTCTGTAGAAATCTCCGCACTGCTGTTGGTTGCAGTGCGAGATGAGGAATTCCTTAAGATTTTGTTTGACGACACGCAACGCTTTGAGGAACATAGTCATAATTAATCCTTTAAAAAACAAAAAGCTCCTCACCATCCCGAAACCTAATAGCCAACCCCTTAGCTATGGGCAGCTCATCCCGGAACTCCTCTAAAATCAACCTTCCTGCGTGCAAATTCTTAAGCACCTCGATTAGATCCTTGATGGCCTCAGCATGGTCCCCCGCATCGGACGGAACTTCGATCCGCTCCAAAAAAGGTTTATAGTTGGGGTCATACAGATGTCGGGGGGAACGGTGAAGGGATCGCTGTGTACAGCGCCCATTTTTCTCCAGGCCCTTGGTTAATTGACTGGCTGCCACCATGGCCAAAAAGAGAAATAAACTAAACCTCGTTTAGCCAGATTTGAGGTAGTTACGATCCGTCACAGACTTACAACATAAGGAGTGCCGCAACGGCCAGTAGGATGCCACAGCAGTAACATTTTCTCTTGCTGCCTGTCCTGCAATTTCTGCATCGCCCACAAAACCAGCAATAAAGGGATCTAAAAAAAGAAGCTGCTTCTCAAAATCCTTAACACGAAAGAAAACTCAAAGCAAAACTCACCCCATGATTGGCATTGCTAAAAAAAGAAACAGCAGCAGGGGGATCAGTAGCTTTAACCCATCCTGCATGGCCAGATAGTCCCTCCAGTCATCAATCTCCGCATTGATTCCAATGTCCTGGCCATTGTAGGAAATATAGCTCTGGGGCAGTCGGTAATATTTGGAAACCAAGAAATTCGTTGCAGATTGCGGCATATAGAATACTGGACTATAGCCGAGGATAGGGCCGACAGGACGGGCAGGGTGGACAGGACGGATGGGGTCAACAGGAGGGATAGGTTCGACAGGAGGGATTGGGTCGACAGTACGGTTAGTGTCGACAGGACGGATAGGGTCGAAATAAAGTATAGGGTCGAAAGGATAGATAGGATCAAAAGGAAAGATAGGGTCGAAAGGATTGATAGGATAATGGTGGTGATAATAGGGGTTGCGATGAAAGTGGTGGTCGTAATGACGGTAGGGGTTGTAATGATGATGGTGGTGATCGACATGATGGTGGTGGCCGTGATGGTGATGGTTGTCATGATGGTAGTGGCCGTGATGGTGATGGTCGTAATGATGGTAGGGGCCATGATTGTAATGGGCGTCATGATGGTGGTAGCGGTGATGCTGGTGGCCGTGATAGTCATCATGATGGTAGTGGCCGTGATGGTGGTGGTCATCATGGTGATGGTGATGGTCGTCATGATGATGGTCATGATCGTGGTCATGATAGTGCTCATGATCGTGCTCATGATCGTGGTCATGATCGTGGTCATGATAGTGGTCATGATGAAGATCGTCATGATGGTGGTTGTGCTCATGCTTATGCTCGGTCTTGATAGTGTCGACATGATGGTAATGATGGAGGGGCCCCTGGCCCATGCCTGGTATCATGCCAGCCACCGTGTCGAGAACGCCCATGCCTGGTATCTATAAATGCTTTTATTTAATTGAAAATTTTATATTATTGAATTTGATTTAAAAGCCAGGGACTATTTTGGTGTAAAAAAAGAAACCAAGATTTTATCTCTAGAGATTTTGAAAGAAAGATCTTAAAGTTTTATTCCACTGCTACATATTTCAACAACGTAATTCTACTGCTACATTTAAATTCGGCTACATTCCTTTTTTATTTGACGTCTGACGTTTTAAATATATAATATAAATTATAAATTAAATTATAATCGGGTTTCCTGTCGATCTACTTAAATGGATTTTGAGCTATTTGAGTGACAGAACTCTAAAGGTTCTGTTTAAAAATGCTCTATCCAAATTCCTCAGAGTCACTTCTGGCGTCCCACAGGGTAGCCACCTCGGCCCGCTGCTATTTACATTGTTTATCAATGACCTCCCGCTGGTTCTAACGAATTCTAGAGTACTTATGTACGCTGATGACGTTAAGCTATGCTTGCAGTATAAGGACAGCTCTTGCCAGTCAGACCTGCAATCGGATCTTAATAACTTTCAAGCATGGTGTCGTGCTAATTTATTACATCTCAACAGCTCTAAATGCAAGCTGATGACATTTTCATGTGTCACTCCCCAGTTTGCCACTTATATGCTAAATGATTGTGCTCTTGAAAGAATATCTCTTGTTGATGATTTAGGCGTTCGCTTAGACCCTAAACTTTCGTTCTCTGAACATATTTCGTGCACAGTTAATAAGGCCAGAGGCATGCTAGGTTTTATTAAGAGGTGGTCGAAGGAATTCGATTCCCCTTATATAACGAAGACCCTTTTTACTTCATTAGTTCGCCCTATATTGGAGTATGGTTCATGCGTCTGGAGTCCTCAATTCGGAATCCATATTAACCGTATTGAATCTGTACAAAAGAACTTTTTACTTTTCGCCCTCCGTGGCCTACCTTGGGATGCTGATGAGAGGCTACCGTCCTATACAAGTAGACTCCTATTAATTAACTTACCCTCCCTAGCTAACCGTAGAACAATGCTTGGTGTCGTACTCCTTCATAACCTTATAAATGGTGTGGTTGAGAGCCCCTTTCTTTTAGGGCAGCTTAACTTCCACGTTCCCCGACTAACATCTAGAACCCTTATCCCTTTAGTAGTAAATCACTGTAGGCGGGAGTTTGAAGTACATGAACCCTTTAGGGTTTTATGTACGGATTACAACCGCCTCTCTGATATTATAATTCGTAGCGATAACCCTTCTATATTAAAAACCTTAATACTTGTAGAGTTAGCTCGTAGTGTAGCACCGTAGTCTAATTTTGCATGCGTTTCTTTTTATTTTACCTATTTATTTATTCTTGCATGACTTGTAGTAGTTATCTCGTAGAGTAGCACTAATTTTTTTTAATTTTTTTTTTTTTATTTTTTATATTTTGTTTATTTATTAAATTATGGTTATGGTTATATATTTTTATTATTAGATCATTATTTTGCATGCGTATTTATTTATTTATATATTTATAGTTTATTATATTATCTCCTAATGTTTCCTCGTACATTTCGTCTGTCCTTCTAACGCGTCTATCTAGTTCGCGATTCGTGCCGTACGTCACACGGCTGCGCCCCTCGGTCGGTTGGGCGGGAGGTGGAAGCGGGACCCCGCGCGAAAAAAAAAAAAAAAAAAAAAAAAATCAAAGCCGACTAAGACCTCAAGTCTGCAATTGCCCCTCGAGGGGCCACACATAGGCCAATATGGCCCATAGCTATCCGGGGAAACTCATGGATGGACCTAGAGACTATTTGTGCGGGTTTCGAGATCCTTGAATAGCAAGGTGTTTTTCGCAAAGGCAAGGAGTTCGTCTGGCCTCCTCCTGGAGGCATCTTCTAGCGATGCCAGAACTGGAGAGCCTAGGTATCTCATTCTTGCCCTCGTTAGGGCCGGACATTTGCAAATGAGATGCTCCAAGGTTTCGATTGCCTCGGATTCATCACATTTCCGGCATTTGGCGTTGTCGGTATTACCCAGCTTGACTGCATTTGCAGCAGACAGGCAGTAACCTGTAAGAATACACACTAATAATGCAGCACGAAGTGAGTGAGTTTCTCGTTGTGCTCTTTGCACATGATTTTTGATATTCTGCAGGTTGCGGAATTACTCCTCCACCTGCTTTTTGCGCTTGCGTCAGCTCGTCTCTCTAGCTCGCTTTGGAGCGTTCTTAGGGAGATAGGGACGTTTTCTGTTCTTTCACTCGCCAGTCCAAAGCCTTCCTTTGCATGTTCGTCCGCGGTTTCGTTGCCGTCTATGCCTTGGTGGCTGGGAACCCAGTAGATCCTCACTGACTTAGTCGTGCTCAGGCTATCTAATGACTCCCTGCTTGCCAGTACAGCCTCATGTGGACGGTTTATGCTCTGCGCAAGCTCTGTTGCTTTCCTGATGGCGAATACTTCCGCCTGGAATATACTGCAGTAGCTTGGTAGCTTATACGACAGCCTCAGTATATGCCCGCTCCAACTCCTCCTTCCATCTTGGAGCCATCGGTGTATATATTGAGGTATTGACCATGGTCCTGGCCTGACTTCCAGCCATTTGGTACCATGAATACTGTTGTGTTTACATCCGGGCACGTTCTGGGTATCATGTAGTCAGATGTACTGCTCATGTCATGTAGCGACCAGTTTCCTGATGCAACCAGACGTTGTGCCGCCTTTCCTGCTGTCAGTTGCGCTTGGATATCTAGGGGATATATACCGATTATGGTTTCGAGTGCTTTGGTGGGGGTTGACCTCAGCGCCCCTGATATGCAGAGCAGTGCCGCTGGGTTTTCTCCATAAGCTTATTATACGTTTTCTTCTTAATGGCTTGCCACCACACTAAGACTCCATACAGCAGAGTCGGACGCACCACCGATATGTAGACCCAATGCATTAGAGCGGGTGAGATGCCCCATGTGCTGCTAAGCATCTTCTTGGATGCATATTGTGCTATGGTGGCCTTTTTTATACTCTCTAATACATTTGCTCTCCACGTCAGCTTGCTGTCAAGTACAATGCCGAGGTATTTGACTTGTGTTTTCGGGGTCAGCCTGGTATTGTTAATTTTTGGGGGGATCCATTGCGGCACCTTGTATCTCTTGGTGAAGAGAATAATGTCCGTGTTATCCGCATTGATATTGAGTCCTACCTTCTCCGCCCACTCACATATCTCCCTGAGCGTTGTTTCGATGATCGAGCTGAGGGTCGATGGACAGACTCCCGCTATAATTATGCTTATGGCATCCGCATAAGCTTTTATCTTTGGTGCTTTTTAGGTCATCTACCACCAGATTCCATAGGAGGGGCGACAGAACCCCACCTTGCGGCGTGCCTCTGTGCGCTCCTCTCACCATGGAAGCGGTGCCCCAATCTGATTGTACCGGCCGGCAACTTAAAAGATTTTTTATCCACAAGTTGATAGCGGGGGACGAGTTGGTCGTTTCTAGGCGATCCATTATTGCGTCCGTGTTAACGTTGTTGAATGCCCCGGATATGTCCACGAACACTCCAAGTGCATATTCCTTATTGTTTAGGGCTCTCTCAATGGTGGCTACCAACGAATGTAGTGCCGTCTCCACTGATTTCCCCTTCGTGTAGGCGTGCTGGTTGGTCGACCGTTGTCTCCCTACATCGTTCCTGATGTATAGGTCCAGCAGCTTTTCCAGCGTTTTAAGAAGGAATGAGGTGAGGCTTATCGGTCTGTAATCCTTGGGGCTCATGTGGCTGCACTTTTCTGCTTTGGGTAGGAAGACAATCCGAGAGGTCCTCCATTGGATAGAGATATAGCCCGTGCTTAAACAAGCTGTATATATTGCGTAGAGCCATGGGGTGACCACTTCCTTGGTCGCCTGCAGCATGGCTGGGAATATTCCATCTAGTCCTGGTGCCTTTATCCTCGCAAAAGAGTCTATAGCCCAGTGGATTCTACTAGAGGGTATTAGATCTTTTGGGAGACGCTCTACTCCAGTTGCTAGGTCCAGGTGCTTATTTGCTTCGGGTACCTCAGTGTATCCTGGGAAATGCGCGTGCATTAGTGCTGTTAGGGCCTCTTCGCTGCCCTCAGTCCTCTGTCCGTCGTCGCGTTTGAGCTGACTCTGTATGGTTGGCTGCTTCGATAGCAGCTTCCGGAGTCTAGCCGTTTCCGGGGCAGTCTCTATATTGGAGCAGAAGTTTCTCTATGAGTTTCTCTGCGCCTTGCGTATTTCCTTCTTGTAGTCCCTAAGTAGAACTTTGTATTCCTCATTGATGATGTCATCTTTCGCCTGCTTGGCGATTTTGTAAAATTCTTTGAGTTTGTTGCGTCGGAGTGAAAGGCCCTTATTCCACCAGGGTGGCCTGGTCCTCTTTCTCGTGTCCGATATAGGGCATGATACGTGGTACGAATCCAGCAGTTCTTTGGAGAGGGTCTCTAGAGAATTTTCTATGCCTTCTGCGGATTCTACTATGCCCGGAGAGATCGCGAGCCGTGTCGCGATAGTCTCCTTGAACTTTCCCCAGTTAGTATTCCGGGGGTTGCTAAAGACTGATTGTTTTGGAGAGTGTTCGAATGCGTATTGGAACCGTATGTACTTATGATCTGAGAAGGATTGTCTCTTAAGGACTCTCCATTCTGATACCAAAGTACCTTGTCCCCTTACAAGAGTAAGATCTAGCACGTTTGAGGATGTGGGACCTACATAGGTGTGTTCCTCCCCCACGTTTGCTATACTCAGGTTGGTTGAGAGTATAAAGTCTAAGAGGGACTCACCTCAGTCGTTTATGTCGGGGCTCCCCCATACGCAGTGGTGCGCGTTGGCGTCAGCACCCACAAGCAGTTGGCTGGCTTCTACCAAGCTCATGAGTTCTTCAGGTGGGGCTGTCCTGTCGTGTGCCATGTAGCAGGAAGCTACCAAAAGGCGCTTTTTCCCGCTCTCTAGCATCACCACGGTCAGGTCATCAAAGCTATAGTGAGACATAAGGTTAGCGTGTAGACCCTTCCGTACAAGTACGGCGGTTCTATTCCTGTTTACCGTTGGTGGATGGAGCAAATTGTAATTTGCGGACTTCAGTCCGGCGATGGCATTGCCTGAGGCGACCCATGGCTCCTGGACCAAAGCTATGTCGGCGGATCCTTGCTCCATGGCTATGAGAAGTTCCGCCGACGCGACCTTGCTGTTATGGAGGTTGAGCTGCAGCACCCTGAGTGTCATGGATACTGGCCTCACCTCCATACGACGGTTTGACTACTACGGTCAGGTCACCGTCCTCTCCTTCGTCGGACTCATCCAGCCTCATTTCCCGGTCGGCATCCACGATGGTTTCCAGACCTAGGTCCTTCTCCACCACATCTGCCTTCAGGGTGTGAGCAACCTTATCCCCAGGGTGGCGCTTTTTGAGGCGCAGGTATACGCTACCCATGCCCCACGCCATCTTCCCGTATCTGGGATAAAGGATGTCCTCTGCCTCCTTGTTTATCTGGAGGACTGCACTTTGACCCCCCCTCCTTGGGTGATGGGGCCGCAACGTGCAGAACCTTCCAGTCCGCGGTTGGGATATCCGGGTTCTGACGCTGCAGCAGTTTCAGCGCCCGGTCCGCTTGGATTGCGATGGGGAAGAGTACCTTCGCTTTTGGAGTGGATGGGATTAGCTCCCGGTCCACCACCTCTAGCTTGCTCCCTCCCACAGCGCCTCCAACTGGCAGACCGCTTGCGTCAGCCACTTTCTCGTCGGGTCATCCATGCACTTTAGGATTTTGACTCCATTTAGCCACCCAGCGCCATCGAAGGTGGTTATGGGAGCTTCGGGATCATCCTCCATCCGTGCGTACAATGACTCCACTGCGCCTCGGTCATTTTGCCGGCTTCATCGCTTCTGTCAATGAGGGCCACGATCAAAAGTCGTTTAGGTGACCAAACGACTGACTTTTGCGGTTTTTTTGGGCTTTTTCGTTATTTGAGGAGGGCCTGCCTCCTTAGGCCCGCGTTGCCGCTTGCTCCCCGGTGCGTCCATAGAAGCGCTTTCGGTTGAGCGTTGCCTTTTGTTGGCAAGCGTCTCCTCCAACTTGTTGGCGAATCCGCGAGTCGAACTCATATGGAGAGTTTGGCGAAGTGAAGCCTTCCCTCAGCGATTTTCTCCTCAGCCCAGGTAAGCTTTGCCTTCTCCTCTGGGGATAGGGCGGCTTTTTCCTGGAGCCGATCCTGGATGCGGAGGGCAGCCTTGTACAGCGCCTTGGCCTTCATTCCCTCGCTTGACCGCTTTGGCCCGTCCCTGCGCTGGTGCCTGGTGAGTGGAGAAGCTGCACGCTCTCAAGGTACGAGTCTGTATCGACTATGGCACGTGAGCGGCTCAACTTCCCCTGCGTAGTTTTTTCGGCAGTAGCGTTGCAACAGACATGACCTGCTCCCGTCACATCAGAGGTGTAACCGCTGTCGACACGCAGAGAGGATTGCTCCCCCCCGTGCCCGCCGGTGGTAGCGGTCACGCCTTCCACCGACGTTTGGGCTGACATCCCAGCCCTGGTTTCATCATTTAAATCCTCCAGAATGGTTTCTTTTTCAGGGGTACCACCCACTTGCGTTTAATGCCTTCCGCCAGGCACCTCCACCCATGGCTAACGGCTCACTTCCTTAAGCTTTTTATGGCAGAAGGAGTTGAACCGTGGCCTTTGCTAGACACTGTATTATCGCGGACGGAGCAAGCAGCAATGCATTACCCCTGTCCAGGCTAATACAGTGCCCATTGCCCAGCCGGCACCCTCGGGGAGGGTTCAGATGGAGGATTTTTGCCAGGCCTGCCGAGGATTAAAAGACCTCATAATAGTTAATCCTTAAAAAAAAACCAAAAGCTTCTCACCATCCCGAAACCTAATAGCCAACCCCTTAGCTATGGGCAACTCATTCTGGAACTCCTCTAAAATCAACTTTGTTAAGTTTATATTCTTAAGCACTTCGCTCAGATGCTTGATGGCCTCGGCGTGGACCATTGCTAGTGTGGCATTAGACTGAGCTGCGATCCGCACCAACAAATACTTGTAGTCGGTCTCAAACAGACGGCGCATGTGCTCGAAGTTTGAATGGAAAATGCCATTCTCCTTCGTCCGACTAAAGTTGTTCGAAAACTGACAGTGTCTAGATTTATCCAGGCTCTTGTACAACTGAGTGGCTGCCAATATGGTAAAAATGAGAAATATGTATACAAATGCTCAATCAGGCAGATTAGCTACAGTTACGATGTTTTATAGACTAACAGCATAAGAAATGCCGAAATGGCCAGAAGAATGCCACAGCAGTAACGCTTTTCCTTGCTGGCTCTTCCGTAATTCTTGCATTGCCCAGAGCAAAGCTCACCCCACGATTGGCACAGCTAGAAAGAGCAGCAATAGCAGTGTTATCAATACCTTCAACACGTCCTGATTGACCAGGTAATCTTTCCAATCATCATTCTCCGCCTTGACCCCAATATCGTTACCATCTTGGGAAATGTAGCTCTTGGGCACTTGCTTAGAATCGGAAACCAAGGAGCCAGTGACAACATGCGGCAGAGATAAGATCAAATCATAGCTGGAATCTTCTTCCTTGGCCTTGATTTGTATTCTGGAGAGATTCGAAACTCGTTCGACTGGCCCCTAATCATGGTTAACTCCAAGCCAAGTAGCGGGGATTCCATAAACTCTAATTCCAGTTACTGATTTCATTTAATTGAATATTTTTTTATAAACAAATCTGATTCAGAAATCAGGGAGTATTTTGGTGTAATTAAAAAAAAAACAATAAAGGAAGCTAGCTTCGGCACCCTTGCAGTTTCCAATCATTAAAAATCAAGCCATTCTGCTTAAATTAATAGAAGAAAATAAAAGGAGATATATAAAAGTTTTATATTTATACATATCATATAATAATTTGGTTTTTAATACAAATTTAAATGTTAATCCTCCCTATGCTGCCTCCTGTTCTCCTGATGCGTGATATCGAGCAAATTATGAATTTGTACCGGAAATGTCATAACTAGGGACTTGGTTTCGGATTACAACAACAACATTTTTACAACAACAGTTTAGCCAAATGGATTTTAGGTTTCGGGCTCGGGTTCGGGATGTACCTAGTCTCTTAGGAGAAGTTAAAGCTAAACGGCGCCCTATGCGTGGTGGTGGCTTCTGGGGAACTAACGGCGGCTGTGGGGTTGGACGCTTCATGGAAACGGTGCCGCAATGAAAATGCCAGCTAAGACAAAAGCTCTCGGTTAATAATCTAGAAAAAAAACTTTAATCACAATACTCACCACACCAGAATGAGAACTGCATTGTAGATCGGCAGTATCACTAAACCCAGAATTAGTAACCTATGCAGCGGACACCAGGATTGCTGGAGCTGCGTCAGTCAGTCCGAAGAACAGCATCCAGAAGAAGTATCTTTACTCCTATTGTACACACTCATGCCCGTTGACTCCCACAGTCTGTGGCAGTGGCCGAAGGGCAGGATCATTGAGAAACCAATCTCAAGCTTTTTTTGTGCTTGTTTGTTTTTTTAATATCTATCATCTACTGGCGTTCGTTTCTGGAGTGTTGGAAGTGTGTTTAGAATTTAGTTTACTTATGAAACTTTATTTTTTACAGTTAAGTTTAATGAGTAAATAATTAATAATTATAATATTCCATAATATGGTATGCTGAAAGATTTTTAAAAGTAACTATGTTCAAATATAATACCTTTAATTCCCTAAAAAATTTGTTTATTTGTACATTTAATTAAAATCCAAAATTCATATTTATACACTGTTCGGAGCAGATCGCCAGCGCCTAGTCACGCGCGCATAGGTGTACCGCTGCACCTGCAGCGCTCTTATGTTTTCTCTTTTCTGCTCTTTTCTTATCTCGCTAAAGCTGTCGCGTTATCTATCAGCCAAACTAAATTTGTTATCCCATAAACATATATATATTCTGAAGCCAAGCTTTTATACACACAGTCTGCAGCTCCGATGAAACAAACACATTAAAAACGGCTTATATTAAAATACCTATCGTGCGTCTTTTTAATATAAACTAAAGGGTGGCAAATTCGTTGTCTTCCCCACAAACATACACAACTTTTCTTTACTCCTATAAGTATAATGTTTATTATTAGATATTTTTCGTATCTATAATTTTGCTGGGTACAGTAATTGTAATCAGAAGTTTGGAAATAGTGGGGGATTTCCGATTCTACAAAAGCAACAACAGCCTAGTCAATCTAAAATGTTTTCAGGACAAAACAAACAAAAATTAACTGATTTTTTTTGTTTTAGTTTTTTAGCCGGTTTCATAAATGCATATTGAAATTCAATTGATCCACATTCGTTTCATCTATCACTGGCAAATATCTGCAGTGGGTGCAGTCTGGGAATTCCATTGGCAGTGTGCAGCAGGGGGAAGCACAGGGGGCTGCACAAGGTGACACGCAGGAGGCCGCGCAGGGGGCAGCACATGGGGCCGCACAGGAAACCGCGCTAGAGGCCGCGCAGGAAGTCGCGGAAGGATCCGCGCAGGGGGCCGCGCTGGGATCCACGCAGGGGGCAGCGCATGGAGCAGAGCAGGGGACCTCGCAAACATTCCTACAACACCGGCAGTAACATCTCAGATAATGACTGCAGGAGATGGCGGGCAGAAGCATCAGGGTGAAGGGTAGAAGCCAGAACCAGATGGCGTTCTGGAGAATAAAGGAAATTCAATTTATAATTGAAGCTACATATATCGCAATCCCCACTCACCATTGGATAGGCAATACTTCGACAAAGATCTTTATATCTCAACAAGCGATTTAGAGCTAAACCATCGCGATACGAATCAAAGCTCCCACCGTTAGACGGATCATGGTATAGATCATCGTAGTGATGAGCATCATGGTAATGGTCATCGTGGTAATAATCATCGTGGTAATAGTAATCATTATAATAGTCATCGTAGTAATGGTCATCGTGGTGGTGGCCGTGGCGAGTCTGACCTAAGCTCTTAATCGATTCGTTCCTTCCATTATCCAGACCAATATCAATGAAATCGCGGCATTGAAACTGTTTAATCCTTTCCAGAAGAAGGCTCATGTATGTGGCTAAGCTTTCATTTCTGCCGGACAGCAGGTGATCCAATTCCTTCACTTTCCCCAGCAGTCGCTGAATGATCGCCGCTAGCGGTTGCCCCAGTTTCTTGTGAGCAACTTGTAGCCTGATGGTCTGGTTTAACAGAAAAGGAGGCGATCCCACGCTCCTGGTCAGGTTGCCCAGTTTACTGATAAGCTCCAGCAGAGGACCCGGCTTGGGCTCTGGCACCAGCTCTCGGCACATATGTTGGGTGAATTCTGAGGTGTTGTAGCTAAAGAGCTTATTCCTCAAGAGCTCCCGGTCCACGGCCGCCGCCTGGGAACAAATGGAACTCAGATTGCCAGGAATCTTCGCTAAAGATTCCAGGATATCTCTTTTCATATTGGCAAAAAATTCCTTGAGACCCAAGTCACCGCACAAGCTCTCATTGCCGGCGCACCGCTGCAACGTATCTTCAGATCTTAGCACAGGTTGATAATCATCTGTTAAAATTTCATTTGGTTGATTATCATTTGGTAGATTTTCATTCGGAGGATTATAATTCGGTGGATTATCATCCGGGCGATTATAAATCGGTCGATTAAAAATCGGTCGATTATACGTCCGTGGATAATAATTAGATCGATAATAAATCGGATTGATCCGCTTTTCAGGCACCTGGTGATATCTACAAAAGTTCATGAAGATTTATTTTAGCTTGGAGATGCTCCAACAACTTACCCAGCACAGAAAATATTATACGTCAAGAATCCGTGGACCAGAAAGAAAAGCACCAGAATAAGAGGTATCGAGAAAAGAATGAAGACAGCAGTGAGGAATGCACAGATTAGCCCATTGCCCACATTTGGCTTATACAATTTCACCACAAGAGCAATTAGCAGGAGGATGGGCAAAATCATAAGCACCAAGAGCATTCCTAACATGCTTCCATACCATGAAGGTCCCAGCTTCCGGCGCAGAGCAACTGCGGGAAAACGACGAATCGCCTTTGCCGGCTTTTTTTTTTTTACTTTAGGTTCGACCAACGATGCTTTGAACTTCTCGTGCAGATTTTTGTCTGAGGGTGGACTTTGTAATATTAAAGGGGGGTATTTTTTTTATTTTTTTTTTCTGCTAACCGTCTTTATGGAGATCCTTATAAACTGCGACCGGCAGATTTTTAGTGCGATTCCTGTACGTCTTTGCAGCCATTAGGGGATAGTTGACGAAGTTACTTGCCAAAATTTCGTTAATGGACTTGATCAAGTCTGCCGCTGAGGGAATCTTTAACAGTTGTTTCGTTTTAATCCTTTTACGTTCCCTTTAAGTAACCATTAATGCACTTACTCTATCAAAGTGCAGACATCCCTCGTCTAGCATCCTGATCTCATTGTCTCTGTAGAAATCTCCGCACTCCTCTTGGTTGCACTGCGAGGTAAGGAAGTCCTTAAGATTTTCTTTGACGACACGCAACGCTGTTGAGGATCACTGTCATTGTTAATCCTTTAAAAAACCAAAGGATCCTTACCATCCCGAAACCTAATAGCCAACCCCTTACCTACGGGCAGCTCATCCTGGAACTCCTCTAAAATTAACTTAGCTGCGTGCAAATTCTTAAGCACCTCGTTTAAATCATTGATGGCCTCGGCATGGTCCCCCGCATCGGACTGATCCTTATAGTTGGGGTCATACAGATCTCGGGGGGAACGGTGAAGGGATCGCTGTGTACAGCGCCCATTTTTCTCCAGGCCCTTGGTTAATTGACTGGCTGCCAGCATTGCAAAAAAAAGAAAAAAACTAAAGATCGTTTAGCCAGATTAGCGGTAGTTACGAATCTGTCACAGACTTACAACATAAGGAGTGCCGCAACGGCCAGAAGGATGCCACAGAAGTAACACGTTCTCTTGCTGCCTGTCCTGCAATTTCTGCATCGCCTATAAAACCAGCCATAAAGGGATCTAAAAAAGGAAGCTGCTTCTTAAAACCCTTAACACGAAGGAAAACTCAAAGCAAAACTCACCCCATGATTGGCATTGCTAAAATGAGAAACAACAGCAGGAGGATCAGTACCTTCAGCCCATCCTGCATGGCCAGATAATCCCTCCATTCATCAATCTCCGCATTGACTCCAATATCCAGGCCATTGTAGGAAATGTAGCTCTGGGGCAGTCGGCCATGTTTGACAACCAAGAAGTTCGTTGCAGATTGCGGCAGATAGAAGACTGGACTATGGCCGAGGATAGGGTCGAAAGGACGGACAGGATGGTCGTAATGGTTGTGGTGACGGTCGTTATGATAGTGATGGGCGTGATGGTGAAGGTCGTCACGATAGTAGTGGCCGTGATGGTGATGGTCGTCATGATGGTAGTGGCCGTGATGGTGGTGGTCATCATGATGGTAGTGGCCGGGATGGTGGTGGTAATCGTCATAATGGTAGTGGCCATGATGGTAATGGCCATAGTGGCCATGATTGTGGACGTCATGATCGCGGTCATAATCGTGGTCATGATACTGGTAATTATGGATAGGCATCAAGGCTTCTGCCAAACCGTTAGGTATCATTATTACTACTTTTATTTAATTGAAAATTTTTATATTATCGAATTTAATTTAGAAGTCATGGACTATTTTGGTGTAAATTAAAAAAGAAACTAAGATTTTATCTCTAGAGATTTTTTTATTCCACTGCTACACATTTCAACATACTGAATGTTGCGTAATTCCACTGCTACATGACGTTTTAAATATAAATAAATAAATAAATAAAATATAGGTCGATGCTAATAATAAAAACAAACTAAACCAAAGGGGAGATTCGCCCCAAAAAAGCCCACGCCTCCATACGTAAAAGCTTTAAAGCTTGGCTTATGGAAAGTCTGAGAGACTTGCATGCCAAACGACTGGTTAAAAACAACAAAAAGAACTATTGCCGATTTTCAGGGTTTGCTTTTGCCTTTACATCGAAACTTACGATTCCCAACGAGTCTAAGCTAAGATTGAAGGTAAAGTACCAAGAAAATCAGCAATAGTCAGCAAGTGGTCTGATGAGTTGGGTAGCTCCAACGAAACGATCGTCACCACAGCTGCTGCTTGTCTATTGACAAGTTCTTTTTGTTGTTTTTAGCTAAAGCCGAGTCTTTGATTTTTATAAAATCGAAGCCGGCTATGACCTCAAGTCTGCAATTACGAATGCTATAAATTAAATAGTGAAAAAAAAAGTGAGATTGAAGAAAATGGCAATTATCAGAGGGAACTGCGGATTGGTGTCGTGACACTCACCTGTTTGGAAGACGTGGCAGAGAAGCTCATGAAGATGGACAATGCGATTACTAAGGAGGGTCCATTGTCACCTCGTAAAGCCGAAGAAATTGAAAAAAAGGACACCAATTATAGGAATGCAATCCTATTGGATAAGTGTCTTGTAAACGGTGGGACAACGTTCAAAGGCTTTTTGGAGTGTCATCGTCAGTTCAGACACCAAGGCAACATTTCTCTTTAAAATTTCTGTGAGACAGATTTCGAAGAGAGTTAAAGAGAATTTTGAGATTTATATAAAACCACTTGAAGTTTATGGACATAAATGTTGTCGGGGTTGCTTTTTTAGATTTTTTGTCTCATGCTTTTGGTTTTCACTTACTAAACTATGACAACGTTAAGGATACTTGCTGGTATCCGTATTATTTTCCAGTTTATTTGTTTGCATTTGAATTAGTATCAATCAGAGTTGCGTGTTGGTTTTTTTTATGTTTTCAATTTTCTTTCTAAAATTAATACATTAAATGCATTGAATAACTCTCAACCAGGGACCGTAAATAATGATTATTGTCGCTATTTTTTAATAAATAAATCAATCAGTTCCAATCAACATAGAACAAGCATGACTAGCGCGTTTTTATCCTTTAAGGATACACTATGAATATCCTTGATGATTTTTATTTTTAATTGTTATATTTATTCTTCTATAGTTAAAGATTATTTTTGAGCAAAAAAATTAAAAATCACACATAATCATTATGCTTGAGCAAAAAATATGAAACTCAAAAATAATGATTATTCGTGATTTTTATTTTTTTTTGTTCAAAATAAAACTCACCAAGCAAGAACTTTTGATCCATTAAGGATATTGCCAATATTGGCATATGTCCTTATAAAGGGACCCTAGAGCAACAATTGACAGTTGAATTTACTAACCTTTTTATTCAACTGCCACAGTTGGCGTTGGAGTTTCGGTATGGGTCGCAAGCGAAATTTTGTTCTCCGCAATTTTTTTATTTTCCACGCGGGAAATAATGTTTCCGAGTGCAAAATTTGCAAATTAACGTTAGTTGGCGAGTACGTGTGCAACATGAAGCGGCATATGCAAACTAAGCATAAATCGGAGTATGAAGCTGAGATAGCTAACATTCAGGAAGACGAAGCTGCCGAAAGAAAAATTAAATTTGAAATACCAATGGGCAAAAATGAAGTGAAGGATGCGTGCATCGATTTGGTGACGCTGGAAGAGCTTCCGTTGGCTATTTTTGATTCGGAGTGCTTCAAAACGCTAACGTCTCAAATATTTTCTGCACTGGATATGCCGGCTGTTTCGTCCAGAAACATAATGGGCATGGTGGAGGAAAAATATAAAGACATTAAAAACAGCATAATGGCCAGTCTCAAGGACAAAATGCTGAGCTTAAAAATGGACACAGCCACCCGGTATAATCGTGGGATCTTATGCGTAAATGTTCAATATATTCACGACACTGGTATTGCGATAAGGACCTTGGGCCTTATTAAGTTAAAGATGTCGCACACGTCTAGAAACATCACTGCTGACCCAATTCGCGATTCAGAAGCAGCAAATATACACCATAACCACGGACAATGGCAGAAATATGGTGAAAGCAGTTGAGCTGCTTAATGATTTGGAGACTGCTGACATTGACGAGGACGACGAGGATGAGGAAGAGCTAATGTTTAATACTAGCATTGCAATGCATTGGTTCCATCACCTCCGTACGTTGTGCAGCACACACCCTTCAGCTAGCTGTGAAGGACTTCCTGGAAGACTTGGAAGCAGCTGATTTTATTTGTAAAGCGCGAAAGCTTGTGAAGCTGTTAAGGACGCCAACCTACAAGTCTGTTTCATAACATTTTATTTATTACCTTTTATAAATTAACTATTTTTGATATATATTTAGGCATTTGATAACTGAGGCAGCATTAACCGCAGCCTGTAATTGATGTTGCGACTCGATGGAGCTCAACATATAATATGTTGAGTAAACTGCTGGGTTTTGAGACCTTTTGCGAGCGCCACTTCAAAAATTCAAAGAAGCTGACTCCGACTGAGTGGTTGGATTTAAAACAATAGGTGGAAGCTTTGGAGCCAGCTTACTTGGCAACATTGCAATTTCAAAGCAGCCAATTATTTATGAGCGACTTCTACAAGCTTTGGATGGAACTCAAGCTCACAGTCGGGGCTAAGCAGACAACCTATAGTAAAGCGTTGAGGCTTGCTATTGAGGCGCGAGAAGAAAGCCTGTTAGCAAATAAAGTCATCATTTGCAGCCTCTTCCTGGACCCACGCTTACGTCGCATATTGCTGCAACACCCTGAAAACGTGATGCGCGCAAAAAAAGGAGCTTAAACAGCTCTTACGCCAACTGTGGCAGTTGAAGGAAAAGGTTAGTAAATTTATTTTATATAAATAATAAGCAATAATTAATTCAACATATTTTCAGATTGATACAGATGAAGCCTGCTCAACCTCTAGCTTGACAGAGACCAATTTGCCTTCGCAAAATTCTCAGTCTTGCTCGCTCTTGACCGAGCATTTAAGTAGCATTGAGGTCGATGCCGAAGAGGAAGCTGACGATGATGGGCAGCAGGAATTATTAAAAGGATATGCTGAAATTGATAGTTACAGCCCGAAGTCCATCAGCCTAGGCGCTGATATAATGCAGTACAGGAGTGAGAAGCAATTTCAGTACCCGAATTTATATCAGCTTGCTAAGGTGGTGCTTGCGGTTCCAGTTACACAAGTTAGCGTAGAGCGTGCCTTTTCTGCGCTTAAAATAATGCTGTCAAAATTGTTGTTCCTAAAATTAAATACAAATTATTAAAATACATAAATGCATAATACATTGAAAATTAATGTACCTAATTGTTCTACTGGTTGATCATTATGATGATTATCATTATCATTATCATTATTATCATTGTTTTGGTAATTGTGTATATCTGCTGCTGCTGCTCTGTATGTAACAGTTGACCTTATATTAAATAATTGCAACAAACACAGGTAAAGTACATTTTGTTGTTGTTGTTGTTAATTTTTGCTCTAAGGTCCCTTTATAAGGACATATGACAATATTAGCAATTAAAAATCTATAAGTAATCATTACAAAGTAATTTTTAAAATATTACTTATAATGATTACGGTCCCTGCTCTTAAGTCCTCGGTACTGCACTCTTTTTCTAAATTAAAATGGCAGTTTTGGAATTGATCAAATTTTCTTTTTCTTTCTTGTTTTGCGTTCCTATTTTTCGTCGGTTTTGTTTTGCTGGAAGTTTTACAGATTCCATTGAGTGTTCTTTTTTGATCGGTTATTTATGTAGTTTTGCTTGCTTGCTAGATATTTGCTTTCTTTTTTCTTTGTCGTGCATAATAAAATTATGATATTCCTTAAAGCTTCAGCTTTAATCAGATCCGACGCCTGTGCCGCTCTACCCTCTCTACATATATGGTCGTCTTTGCATCTCTTTACCATTTAATGCGTTCATCTATTGATTCTATCCACGTCTAAGTGCTTGTCATCATCGTCGTCGTCTTTTGGCAACATTTTTAAAGTACATACATTATTGTGAAATTCGAGAGAACTTAAGAGTTTCGCACTTATCATTACCTTCTGTAGGTCAATGACAGATATATACAACACATTTGTGATGCTACAGTACTACTTAATTAAATTAAATAATTTCAGTTATGCTTTTGTTTACGCTTTTTAACTAAAAGTACAGTATCCGTGTAAGGGGGATAGGTGAGGGTTTGGGTTCAAATTATAATCGTCATCCATTTTGCCACCTCTCAACTCATTCTTTTACTCTCTAGTCCTGCTCGGATGCCCCGTTGTAATAATAGGGTGGCGGACGCTCGTACTTCGAGGATGGCGGCGGTCCTGGCAGATTGTGGTACCGCGGCGGCTCGTGATCCCAGTGTCAGGTCAACGCCACGCTGGTAAATATAACCCAATTGCGCACAGTGTCCCACATTCTCCCCAGCCTCCCGCATGACCATTCTTACAAAGCTATCGATTCCCTCCTCGATACTCCACGTCTGACTAGAGCCCAGCGTATTGATGTAGTCCTTGCCGCGCGTCTGAATTAATTACTCAGAGGTGACAACCGTCGAAGTGAGCATCTTGATGGAGGTGCCAAAGTCATGGTTGTTGTACGCAATCAACTTGACGATCTTCTTTAAATTAGCCTTAATCTTTTCCACAAGATTGGTTAGCTTCGGCACAAAGTTGCGGTGGAAGGCCATAGCGAGCAAAACGAGACCTTCGCCCAACCATAGGCTGGATACTCGAGATCATTGGAGAGGGTCGATAGCTGCGCGGAGAGAGCAATGAGGTTCATAGGAGTGAACTTGGTGCACAGGCTGGGCGTGTACAGGGAGCTATGGTACTCGCCCAGCTTATCGGCTTATCACGATCCTGCGTTTTAAGCAGTTTCACTTGAGACAGATCTTCGTCGAAGATGCGATCCGAACTTTTATCCTGGGAGATCACCTTGTGGCGCGTCATTTCGCTGTCATCGTAGATGTAATACTTTCGCATCATCGCGAACACGGTCTCGTTGGCCTTGCACGAACTTAAAGCACGCGACATTTTCATTGGCGGCGTGCCACGATCAGAAGTTGTTGTTGCCATAGCTGGCAAATAGCGATTCACATCAATGGCAGCATCTGTTGCTCTGTAGATCCCGTAACGGGACACAGACGCACTGATAGGTCACCATTTCAATAACAAAGTAAAACAGACTAACGAGGCAAGTTAATGAAAAAACGCAGCCATCATGATGGCTATGGGGAGGAAAAAAAAGGTGTTATGTAGTTATAGTTGTTCTCATGCACTCATCCACTTACATTAGGAGGCAAGTGGCGCCGGTGCACTTGCTGCAGCACTCGTCGCCATAACCACGGCGTCGTCGTCTAAAGCAAAGCAGAGCCCAAACCAATATGAACAAAATCTAATGAATATAGGAAGAGATGGTGATAAAACAACTTGCTTTTTTGGAAGAGACCCTTTCCTTACCAGGAAAATGATCAACACAACAAGCAGGCTAATTAGGATGCGATACGGGCCGAAACTCGTGTCAACATCATCAAAGGACTTGGCCGAACTCGCAGTCTTGTGGTGTATATATAATCCGTGTCAATGACCTTCTGCATGCCGGAAATATATTCTCCGGTATTGGGTAGCTAAAAGGAACACATAACATTATATAAAGTTAAGTAATGTGGTTGGGGCTATATGTATACCTCATCAAAGTGCAGACAGGGCGAAGCATCAATACGCTCGATATCGCTGCCGACGAGGAACTTCTAGCATATCTCACAGAGATTGGCCACGGCAAA